GTGTAGTTGGACTGACCTGGGACTCACTGTGTAGCCCAGGCTGGTCTCAAACTCACAGTGATCCTCCTGCCTCAGCCTCAGCAAGAGTTGTTTTTTCTAAACTAAAACCTCAGTGTTCAGGTTTCATTGCAGTGTTGGCACTTTGCAGTAAAAAGTGGGCTTTGGGTTGCAGTTTGGGCACTCATCCTTAAACGCCTCGCCACTGCAGTTCTAGAACCTGTATCTGTTAGTTGGTGTTTAGGGAGTGGCATATGTTCTCGGCTCAGTATGACGTACATTTAACAAAAATACTTTATATGTTCCATGGCACAGGAATAAAAATTCCAGTCTACAAACCACTTGACAATGCATTTAACATACAAAGAAACAAAGATATCTTTTTCTAAAGTATTATTGTTAACATTTTCCATTCTCTACTTTGGTTCTTTTAGTCTTGCTTTACTCAAAAGAGATTTTTTAAGGCACCTTTATAAAGCTGTATGTTTAAGTTGGAAAAATCTGAAGTTTCCTAAGCTCAAGTAGCCTTTTTAAAAATCCTGAGGTTATATCATGTTATCATGGGTGGCAGTACCTCATCCTGTTAGTTTTATAGTAGAACCTGAAGTCATACATATTAGCTAATATGTAGATTAAACAGTGAATTTTCCATTTACCTATAAAAATGTCTCTTTATAAAGTAACTATTTGAACAGGTATTTCCACGATTGAATACCAAATGCTTTATACCACTGGATGTGTAGAAGATACGGGGTATAAATTTTAGTGCTTGTCTATAAGGAGGTTTTAATTTAGTTGAGAAGGAAAATTATTAATAAAATGTTAAAAACAGTTTAAGTCAGAAGAATAGCCATGGTCCAGTGTCAACCAGTTAAACAGTGGGCGGAGGGGAAGTGGATTTGGCCTGTGACCAAAGGTTTAGGGATCACAAGAGAACTATCTTCACATATCTGAGGTGCTCTCAGGTGCAAGGAGTACCAGGTTTGTGGAAACAAATTGAATTTGACATTAATAGTGGAAGTAATTCAGAGACAGGGTGATGTGTTTTTTAGACTTGGTTCCTTCTGTAGTGGCTGGGTGACAAGTCGGCAGCAGTGTAGTGAAGGGACAAAGTGTCAGACCTGTTAGGCTGGTGCTCTTCCAGCGCCAGTGCTGTGATGTGACTTTTCTTTCTTTCTTTTTTTTTTTTGTTTTGGTTTTTTGGTTTTTTGAGACAGGGTCTCACTATGTAGTTGAGACTGACCTGAAACTCACTATGTAGCCCAGGCTGGTCTCGAACTCACAGTGCTCCTCCTGCTTCAGCCTCCAGAGTGCTGGGATTACAGGCATGTGTCACCACGCCCTGCTGTGATGCTACTTTTCTAGACTTTCGCTGTGCCACAATCCGCACGATTTTTCTGTCTCTGAATCAAACTTTATGTGTATATTTTCTGGCATCCACATTTACTTTCAAGCCATTCTCTCTCAGGCAAAAAGTGTCATCTTTCTAAATCTTACTTACTCTCAAGAATAGACCACGTGTGTGAGTGTGTGTGTGTGTGGTGGTACACTGGGAGGCAGCAACTGCCACTTCAGGGAACTCGCTTTCTCTACCTCAGGGGGAATCCTCAGCTGCTAAGACCTCCACCCTGCTCTTCCTGTGGGCTGCTCGGATCACCTTTGCTCAGGGTGTGTACCTTCGCAGCCTATAGTCTCCATTTGGGCTGGGCGGTACCATGGGCCCACACTAGGGCTTCACAGTAGCTGACTTTCGGAATCCGAGTACTACAGGTGCCTGAAGACCTGCACAGGTGTTTAGAGAGAATGGCAGATGATCCTGATACCGAAGCAGTTGCTGAGATGCGTTACAAAAGGACCTGTTTGAGGACATCTCACCTCTACTCCCGTGAATTCATCTTTGATTCCAGTGTGAACTGTCGGTCGTAAGAGCAAGGTGTGTAACAGAGGTGGCATCAAGTGCTTACTGTCCCAACCTCCAACACAAACGGGTTCAGGTCTCGGGAATGGATGAGAAATTGATAGTGGCTGGCTGCTAGCAGATCCACCTGGGACTTAGGAGAAATAGGGCCTTGGATGAGAACAAGTAGAGCAGTGCTAACAGTCATGAAGAATGTAGCAGAGGCAAAAACAAGAGCAGAAGTTGAAGTCATGAACAAAATAGAAGCAAAAGTAAGAAAAGAAAGCAAAGTAGAGATAGAGGACAGAAAAAGAGCAAAAACTGTGAATGGAAGTGAGTAGACTCAAAGAAAGGAGGTGGAGCTGCCCAAGAAGGGGAGATAGCAGATTCTGAGGCCAGCACAGAAATCCCTACGCTGGACCAAGATGTAACAGTGCCATCGAGGAAAGATTGGGTTGCCTTATTGCATCAGATTCAGCAGATGGCATTCTTGAATGAGAAGTCCATTTAGAAAAGACGAGCCCTGTGGGAGAACCCATGCAATCTAACCCTAGACGAGAGAGAGACATGGACTGGATTGTTGCCATGCAGCTGGCATTCAACCAAGAGATTTGGAAGAGTTTTTCTCTATAGGAGGAAAGATTTGTGAGGATGGCTTCTCATAGAAATTCAAGATGTTCTGAAGGATTTGCTTTTGTGGAGTTTGCTGGTGTTAGTTCAGTGCACCTAGCAATAAGGTTAACTGGCCTGCGAGTTTTAGGAGTGCCTCAGCACAAGCATCACAGGCAGAGAGAAACAGCTGCAGCCCTGGCACACAGTGTATGCAGAAGAAGTGCTGGACCTGTGCGGCTTTATGTGGGCTCGATACTTTAACATAACTGAAGATATGTGTCAGGGGACACTTGAACCTTTGAAAGGATTGAAAATATGCAGTTCACGATGCTTACTGAGACCGGCCCATCTGAGGGGTGTGGATTCATTACATTTTCTGACTCAGAACGTGCTGAGGCGGCTTTGGAGCAGCATAATGGATCTGAAGTAGCAGAAAGGCCAGTGAAAGTTGGTCACATTACTGAATGTGCTAGTTCATTTTTGGACAGTGATGAATTGGAAAGACTGGAATTGACTTGGGAACAACTGCTCATCTCCGGTTAATGGCTAGACTTGCAGAAGGCACTGGTTTGCAGGTTCCAGCAGCTACACAGCAGATTTTGCAGATGAGTGGTTCTTTGGCTTTGTTGCGGTGCCATGACTTTCCCGGCAGACTGAAGCCGCAGCTGCCTCTGCAAGCCCTTGCAATGCAGTGTTTCCTACTTTCTAACAAAAGAAGAAACTGGATGGGAAACAGACACTGAGGGTGATGCGACCAAAGAACGTAGTAAACCTGGAGGCTCTGACAAGGGCTCTGCTGAGGGCACCTTGTGAGAAGTGCACATCACTTGCTGCAGCTGCTGCTGTCTGCGCATCACATGGCCCGTGGTTTGCTGGTGAAATGGTAACAGTAGCGTGTGTACCTCTTCTGGTTTACCGCAGCCTCTTTCCTGATTCTGTGACACAGCTACTAGTTCCAAGTAGATGATGAAACAAGATTTAATCCCTTAAGTACATGGCTTTTTTTCCTTGAGAGGTCACCTTTTATTTAATAAAAAAATGAAGAGGCAAGGGCCTACTGTCATTTATGTACAATTCTTGTTACGTTGAAGGAAATAAAAATGTTAACAAGAAAAAAATAAAACAAGCCAGATGTGGTGACACACACCTGTGATCCCAGCACTCTGGGAGGCTAAAGCAGGAGGATCACAAGCTCTAGCCCAGCCCAGGCAACTTAGTGACATAGGAAAGGAAAAAAAAAAAAAAAGATTCAAAAAGAGCTGAGGGTGTGACTCCATGTAAAGACCTTGGGTTCAATCCCCAAGGCTGCAGAAAAACAAAAACAAAAAAATAAAAATCCCCTCAAAACCTGCCTATGCCTACTTTAATCAGATTATTCCCTTCTAAATTATAAAACACCTCTAGTATTGGCACTTAACTGCACACCACTCCTTGATACCTCATCTTCTTCCTTAAGCTGTGATCCTCCTGCTTCACTCCTATTGCCCAGGATTGCTTTTGCATGACTGATCAACTTATATAATGTTTAAATAAATTACAGAATTATAATAATACAAAGTACTGAGAGAGCCTTAGACTCCTAAGATGTCACGGTTGCTTTCTATTAAGTTCCCATTTCTGCTCTTTCTTTCACCGTCTTGTAAGTTACAGCCGTAGTTCTCCCAGTTACTTCCTCTACTGATTGTGAGCAAGAAGTGAAGCAAGAAGCTGTCACATACTTTCCTGTTTCTCAAATTAGATTTGTAGTGGGCTGGGTTGTGACCCAGTGGTAGAGCATTTGCCTGGCATGCAAGAGGTCCTGGGTTCAATCCCCAGCACCATTAAAAAAATGAGATTTTTGGGCTGGAGATTTAGCTCTGTGGTTCTGCTGTCTGCCTCGCAAGCACAAGGACCTGAGTTCGATCCTGAGATTTTCGGTCATGCTGAGAAAGGACTGGCTTTTCTTTTTTATTTTCCCATACCAGGCGTAGAAGACATTTGAATTTTATTCTGTAGGTAGAGAGGTAGATGCAGGGGTCACTTCAGGTTTTGGGGGAGGCCTCCAGCACTCTGCATTTACTGCCACTGTGTGTCCTGCAAGACAGATGCTCCTAAAAAGCAGTCACCAGGCCTTGTGGAGTTCACAAGTTGAGTTGTAGCCTCCATAATAAAAATAGCAGCTCTTGCCTAGTGATTGTTGTGTGTCAGACACCCTTCTACTTGCTGAACACACAATAACTAAAGTAATGTCATCATTCATACTCCTGCTAAAGTTCCTGGAGTACCAAGAGGCAAAGTGCCACTGTGGTCAGGGAGTGATGGCAGAGCAAGGCTGGAGCCTGGCCACCTTGCTGTGGAGACTGAGCTTTTATCAGCCCTGTCGACCACCTCCAAAGCCAGTTACATTTACTTCCTACACTTGTATTTGTCAAGTTATACATGTTATTATAACTCTGTAATTTATTCAGACATTATAAAAGTTGATCAATAGTGCAAAAGCAGTCCTGGCAACAGGAGTGAAGCAGGAGGCATCACAATCCTGGACTTTAGTTATACTGCCAAACCACAATGACAAAAACAGACACAAGGATCAATGGAACAGAATAGAGGATGCAGAAACAACCCTCGGCACACTGAGCTATCTGATCTTTGACAAAGGGGCCAAAACACACTGGAGGAGAGATAGCCTCTTTACTAAATGGTTCTGGGAATGCAGAAGACTCAGTCTAGACCCATATATCTCACCATGTACTAAATTAAAATAAAAATTCATCAAAGATGATCTAGGTGTTAGAATTGAAACACTTAACATACTGGAAGATAAAATAGGCGAAACTCTTGAAGTCGTAGGAATAGGCAAGTATTTCTAAGCAGAACCCAGTGGCACAAGAAATAATACAGAGAATCCATAAATGGGATCATAGAAAATTTTAAAAATTGCACAGCAAAGGAAATAACAGAATGAGACAGCTTACAGAACAGGAACAAAAAATTGCCACCTGTATCTTGGAGAGGACTGATATCTAGAATATGTAAAGAACTAAAAAAATTAGATCTCCCCAAAATAAAAGACCCAATCAAAAAATGGCAACTGAAATGAATAAGACACTTCTCAGAAGAAGTAGTACAAATGGCCAATAAACACATGAAAAATGTTTCACCATTAGAGAAATGCAAATTAAAACAACACTGAGATGTCATCTTACAGAATGTCTGTTAGGAAATCAGAGAATAAGAAATGCTGGTGAGGCTGCGGGCAAAATGGAGCCCTTCTACGCTGTTGGTGGGAATGTAAACTAGTACAACCATTGTGGAGATCAGCATGGAGATTCCTTAAAAAACTAAAACTAGAAATTCCATTTGACCTAGATGTTCCCCTTCTGGGAATCTTCCCAAAGTAGTTAAAGACATTATTACATACCCATGTTTATAGTAGCACAGTTCATAGTAGCTAAATCTTGGAAGTAGCCTGAATGTCGATCAACAGATAAATGGATAAAGAAAATGTCATATTTATGCACAGTGGTTTCTTATTCTGCCACAAAGAAGGATAAATTCAAGTCATTTATAGGAAAATGGTTGCAGTTGGTCCATCGACCACACATTGATGAGCAAAACTTCTTGTGTGCTAGAGAAATCCTGCCTTACAAATTGGAGGCCACGGTTGAGGCCAGCAGACTGTCAGCATGGTATCCAGGTGTTTGAGCTAACACTTTGAAGCCTAGATGGGAGAATGTACCCTACCAGTTTGTTCAGCCCTGCCCAGCCACTCAGTTTTTTCCTCTTTTGTGAAAATAACCTTGGAATGTCTTCTTGTCTGTGTCCCCTGGAACGCTCCTGATGAAAATGTGTGTGGAGATCCTGCCCTCAGGTTAGGTGCTGTTTCCTCTCAGAGCTGCCACTGCCTGACCTGGATCTCTGCATGCTCCTGCCCTCGAGGTGCTGAGGCAGTGAAGGTGGCAGCTTGGCTCTGTGGAAGGTGGGAGACAGAAAACTGCTCCTCTCAGCAGGCAGCGTTGGGGATCCAGAGTTAGGCTTTCTGCTTCTGAGCAGTTGTCTTCACCCAAGGGGCAGATCCCGAGACTGCTGTGTCCTGGGGCGCTGCACATCCACATTCTTCAGTCAGGCCCCTGGGCACCCAGCCAGGCAGAAAGGAAGACAGCCTCTTGAAGGACTAGATGTCTTCCAGGTATACAGTATGTAAGCACTGCCACATTTTCCAACTTCTTAATTAACTTTAAAAGTGAGAGTGAATACAGAAAGTTGAAGTAGGTTTTTGAAGGAATTGCCATGGTGGATTAGTGAATATTTGGGAGGGACTTGAATATCTGAGATGCATCGTGTTATGGATATCATAGCAACTGTACATCTGATTCTACACAGATTTGTTGTTCACTGGCATTGTGTTTTTATTTACAGAAACTGATTGGAGAAGTGTTTAATATTGTGAGCCAACAGTCTACTGCCCGACCTGGCTGCATTATTGAACTCGACGCGATAACGGACCAAGTAAAAGCATGCTTGTGAATTGATATATTACCACACAGTCCCAGAGTGCTTTATGTGCATGATGTGTTTCAGTCCCCAAATAATTATCATTCGATGCTGAACACAGCCATCTTCTGTTGATTGCTACAGTTAACACCACTAGTGACTTAGAAATGCGTCTGTGCCCTCATTTCCTTGTGAAGGAATCTGGTTGGGTCAAGGTCACTGTTCCTGCCTGCCCCACTCGGGCTACAGTGCAGCTGCACGCTGGCTGAAGGTGTCCCAGCAGCTCAGCATGGCTCTGGCTTGCAGAGCTGGTTCCTTCCTCCTGGGCTGGGGACTCTTTTGCAGTCCATCTAAGTGCAGAGGAAAGTAAGCCCCAAAGTACAACCTGATCACAGCCCTGGCCATAGTCAGTGCTCCTCGTTGGCTCTTACCTAGCAAAGAGGAAACCTTTCTCCCTGCAGGGAGTGTGTAAAGCCCTTTTAGCCCTTGGGGTATCTTTCTCTTCAGGAACCTGTCTGGACTAGGGAATGGAAGTAACACAGTCACTTAAATATAAGAAAGATTACATTGGCATGGAGGTTACTAAATTTGTTAAACAAAGAAATGAAGAAAGCACCAACTGTATTTAAAAGCCAGTGTAGAGTTATATCATTATCTTTCTGTGATGCCTTGTGTGTTGTGTTGGGGAAAATACTGTTGTGTTCCCCAGAGTGGAGCATTTACCACATCAGTTCCTGGTAACACATTTCTGATGCCCTCTTAGGTAACCCTTAAGTGTATTGTCCCCAAGCTCCAGGCTTTTAAGCTTAGCCCATGTGTTTCTTGTTCTACTCCGCGGGGACCTGGGAGAAGTGAGGTTCACTTCTTTCCCAGACATTTTAAAGGCCTGGATGTGAAGCTCCAGCTGGGCTGGGTTCGGTACTGTGAGTTACTAGTGTAATGCACTGCTGCTTGGCGTTCTTCCTGCTTCATGCTTACCTCACCCTGCCAGCTTTAAACACCACAAGTACCGATGCATGACAAGGGTTTATCGGTGCAAAAGTTTAACTCATCTGGTTTATTCCCAGTGTGTTCTTTTATTTCTGTTACCATGAAAACATCAGTGTTCCTTTTTCTTTTATTTGTTCTTTTTCCCTGAAGAAGTGACCTTCTCTATTATGGATATAAAGAAAAAAAAATATATTTTTGGTACCGAGGATCAAACTCAGGACCTTGTGCTTTTGGGGCAGGTGTGGTGCCATTGAGCTAAATCCTCAGTCCTAAAGAAAATTTTAAAAAATATTTTTACCCAAAGAGACAAAAATTCCCTGTAACTTTCATCCTAATATTACAGCCCCTTTCCCTTTCTGTTTAAGGAAGCTGAGTTTTCTCAATTTTCTGAGATTATGGATTATTCATCCCATGCCCAGGGAATTATAGCTTGCTTCTCTGTCTTAAATTCTGTGGGGTGGCCATCTAGCTCTCTTGACACAGTTGCATGGAAAGTGTTTGTTTGGATCCAGCCTTTTCCATGAATCTCATTTTACCTTTGAGGCTCTAAGAGGCCATTTGGGATTGTCCTTACGCTTGAGTTTGTAGCATAGCAGCTGACTGTGATGTTTTGCCCACCCTTCAGAGATCCCCCTGCTTCCCCATGAATACCTTTCTCCAGAGCTGTGTCACCCTGCTGGCTGTCAGTAGCATCTCTCATAATTTCCCTTATGTAGGCCCATAGGGAAGTGGGATTTATATTTTATTTATTTTACTTTTTTTGTGCCGGGGATCGAACTCAGGACCTTGCACGTGCCAGGCAGACATGGTGCCACTGAGCTAAATCCCCAGCCAGAAGAAAGGCAAGAGGTTTTAATTTTGGTGGTTCTTCAGTGGAATTGGAAAAGCTACTAGCTCTGTGAGTCTGGTGAGCCATCTGTGGTTAACATAGCCCTCCCCGGCCAGTCACAGGGCCGTTCCTTTTGTGCAGGTCACTTACGGACGTTTTCTGTTTAGTTTGTATGTTTGGAGAAGCACTAGAGCTTTCCTGTCCTGCTATTGACTGACCTCTTGGAAAGCAATTTTTCTCTGACTGGGATAGTTTTTAATGCTTTTTTTTTGCTGTTGCTTTCTTCCTCCTTCTTAACTAGTATATTAAGAATAAAAATTGTGAGATTTATTTCTTGTACATGTTAGGGAGGTAGGGAATTTCAAAGGTGAAAATTTCATTTCTTTTTGTATTTGTAGTGTGGCTCAAATACCCAGTTGCTTCATGTGTTTCAAGAAGACTTCATTATAGGATACAAACCACATAAGGAAGATGTGGAGAAAAAGGAAACGGAGATATTTTTCCAGCCATCACAAGGTACTCCTGAAAACGAGGCACAGAGATGTGCAAGCTTTCGGGGAGCGTGGCTCTTCTACACTCTCAGCTGGTGGCAGGGGTAGCCATTGATTATGTCCCAGTGGCTTGTTCGTGGATGGAGGAGACAGCACTGGCAACATAGACTCTTGCCAAGTTTTATGAAACCTAGTTTGTTTTAAAAAGTAACTGTTGAACTCTGTAATTTTTTTTGTTGGTAGTAAATTCCCTGTGTTAGCCTAAGAAAATCAGTTCATTTTAGTAGAGGTTTAAAAAAGTTCCCAGTGAATTGCCACAGAGTAACGATAAATACAAGAAGTGAGATGTTGGATGATGATTCCGGAAATCTCATGGGCATTGAGTCAAAGGCAGTGTCTCAGTTTTTCCCTCTGAAATGTAAAATTTCTTGTTCCTTTTTCTTTAAAAGAAGTTTTTCCATAATAACATTTCAAAAACAATTGTTTCATTTCAACTTTATAGTTTAGCTTAAAATGTTATTTAATTTTTGTTGTACAGTTTCGATATACATAATGATCATTGTATGGAATTTGTACCTGTGCGTAATATATCTTGATTCATATTTTTTTCCCATTCCCCTCCTTTCTAGTCCTCTTCCTTTCCTTATTTATTTGGTACCCAGGATCGAACTCAGATCCTTGTGCTTGCGAGGCAGACAGCGGCACCACTGAGCTAAATCCCTGGCCCTCCTTTATTTATAAAAGCTTTGTTTCTGTTTTATCTTTTCTCGATTTTTTTTCTTTTCCCTTCTTCCCTTTTCCTTTCCTCCCTCCCTTGTGCCCCTTCACATTTGAACATTTTCTTCCTATTTCACAGTATTTATTATATATTTTGGTCTTTAAATGTTTCTTTTAGAAGTCACAGTTTGTAGTTATGAAACATATTCCATTTGAATGAAAATATGTCCTGCTTTTAGTAGTAGTTTTCTGTGAAGAATACTTTCTTAGTTTACAGAGGTTTTCCAGATATTTTATCTTATTATGATTATAGACTGACTACGCGGGGTGATCAAAATATGTGGTGAATATTTGAAGATTATTGCAGGATGAGACACTTTGCCATTAGTTTAAAAATCCCTCCCCTCCCCTTTTTCCAGACTTACTAGTCCCATCATTGTCACTTTCTGAAGCAGTTCTAGAAGCCTCTTTTTTGTCTTCATGAGGTGTGATAAAAATACAGTGAATGCTGCTGTCGAGCACCACCCAACAGAAAAGCAGGCTCCTAAAAACATGGCTCTGTCTCCTCATCCACCATCAGCACCAGATCTGGCACTGTGTGACTTCTAGCTCTTCTCCAAAGTCAAAATGATCACGAAAGAATTCAGGACACCAAGGCTGTCAGGACAGCACAAATAAAGACCTCAGGAGAGAGGATGCCGGTGTGTCTTGTCCTGTGATGAGGTTTTAAAATTTTAAAATATTCATTATGCTTTTCCCTCACACCATATCTATGGATATACTTTACTTAGTATGGTTTTAATCACAGAATTACATGTAGACATATAAAAAACTGTTTCTACTGAATTTGCTTTGTGTTTACTGGAAATTAGAGTGAGTTTCTGTCTTCTCTCAAACTAGCTCAGACATTGTTTTTACTCCTTAGACAAGTTTAGTTTTTCTTTCCTGCTTCATATATCAACTTGCTTTATGTATAAATTATTTAGTTGCCTGTTTAATAATTTTGTAGCACAACAGTGTTGCTTTGTAGATTTCAGGCTTGCTTTTGTGTATTGTACTTTCTCTGGGTTAAATGTTTTAAAAAGTATATAAAGTATATAAAGTAATTTTAAAAAATATTTGTATAATATTTTTAAGCAACAGACTTGCATTTGGGAATTTAAAAAAAAGTTTTCCTTTTTATACTTCTTAAGCTTTTGCTAAATCAGGCCCAAGGATTTTTCTCAGTGTTTCTCGACCTTCCTTTGGCTAGCTAGCTCACTTTTTGTGTTGTTATGAGATTGAGTCATGCAGTGTTGCTTAGCTACCCATGAACTTCCATCCTCCTGCCCCAGCCTCTGCTAGTTGTATGCACTCTACTTGACTTGCTTTTAGTTTCTGTGTGGTTTGTTTTTCTTCCCAGTTTTGTAATTGTTTCATGAAAGGATTTGAGCTCCAGTGTAGTTTTCTAGCATTCTTCAGCCCATGGTTTCTTCCATTGAATATTTAATTCAGTTATATTGCTAGTGATTACAGAGTCATATTTTTCTAATTTTATCTGTTCTCTATTTATTTATTTATTTATTAGCTGGAAAGCATCTATAAAGAAAGACTTCCCATTATGGAGGGCTGTTAGTTTCTTTGAAAACCAGTGCTACTTCAGGAGTGGCAGGGTGTGGCTCGTCTGTCCCCTGACCCACAGTTTAGAGTAAGGAGTTTGTGCTATAGTCTTCTCCAGTGGCTACCGCTCTTTGGTTTTGTGTTTTGCATATCAGTACAAACTCACTTTTAAAAAGTCTTTTTTGGTTGATAATATACATACAGTGGAGTACTCTGCTTGTGTAATGTAGGGATTTTTATGTTTGCATCATTTTGCATTTATTCTTTTTAATGCTCAAATTGTCCTATCTCAGGCTGGTAAGGGCTTTTTCTAGCTTCTTCTGAGTCCTCTTTTTTTCTGATCATGTGCATTCTTTCAGGCCCAAGCTATCTCAGGCTTATCTTTTGTAAGCATGATGTCACACTTTGGACTGTTCATTTTAACTGGAATGCTCTCCATGCTTTGAGTCATACTGTAGGGTTCACTGCCAATGAGTTGTTGCTTGGAATTTTCTTTTTGTGGTACGAGGGATCAGTATCCACAGACCTTTTCATTTTCTTTTATTTTGGGGCATGGTCTTGCCTTAACAAACCCTTGTGTAGGCTGGGCTTAAATTTGTGATCCTCCTGCCTCAGCCTCTCAGAATGCTGGTATTATAGGCCAGGAGCATTCATTCATTCATTCACTTATTTATTGGTACTGGGAATTGAACTTGGGACTTTGTTCTTGTGAGGCAGGTGGCAGAACCAGTGAGTTTTTATTTTTAAAGAAAATTTCTGTTGTCTTGTGTAGATCTGATTTTCATATATGAAGAATATAATTGTCAACAGAAAAAATTATGCCCACAAATGTGTTTTCATAAGGAAATACATGAAATTTCTATGAAATCTTTCTATACTCTTACCACTACCCTTCCCCTGGTGATTTTTTTAGATGTTATTTTCATATAGAACAAACACAATATTTCATTTTCCTTTTAATTGTCAATTTTCAGTATGCGAAGTTTGTGCTCATTAGGGGCGCTGGGGCTTTATGTAAGGCCAGTTCTTGCTCAGTCTGCCTTCTCCCTTACCTCTGTTCCTTCTTTTCCTTCCTTCCCTTTCTTTATATGCTCTTTCTCTTTGACATTTTTGTCAACTCATTTTTAAATGAGCTTTTTTGTTTTGTTTTGTTTTCTTGGGTACCAGGCATTGAACTTGGGTCCTTGTGCTTGTGAAGCAGGTGCCAGAACCACTGAGCTAAATCCTGGGCCCTTCAGCTCATTTTTAAGTGGCACAGTATTTTATTCTTTGAGCTCTGTTGTACTGACTGATCTCCATTTGTGTGGCCTTTTGTGGATTGTGGTGGAGCCCCGGTAGTCTTTGATAGCCACCTAACTTTTACACAAAATGGTATGAAGGACTGGGGATTTGGCTCAGTGGTTCTGCTGCCTGCCTCAAGTGCAAGGGCCAGAGTTCAGTTCCCAGTACCAAAGACAAAAATTTTTCAGCCAGGCGTGGTGGTGCACACAGGTAATCCCAGTACTCAGGAGGCTGAGGCAGGAGTATCACTGTGAGTTCGAGACCAGCCTGGGCTACATAGTGAGTTCCAGGTCAGTCTCAATTACATAGTGAGACCCTGTCTCAAAAAACAAAAAAACAAAAACTAGCAAACAAAAGGTCTGAAAATCCTCCTAGAATTGGTTCTTCCGAGCATTGGTCTGTTTTCTGTTGCCAGTCACACAGTACCGCTGAGTGAAATTGCAGAGAAAAGAGGTTCACTTTGGCTCATGATTTTAGAACTGAGAGGCTGGCAGTGACAGAAATGAGTCCTGACATCACCCGCCACCACCTGGGAGAGCAAGCTGGTGTGGCCCTGTGGCTCGGGTGCTATCTCCCTCTTGCTGGGAAGTCCTTGCATTTAGCCATGGAGGCGTCACCCTGATGACCTGGTCCAATCCTAGCCACCTCCAAGAGCCGCGCCCCCCACAACAGTGCACTCGGTGTCTGCCTTCCTATCTCACAGTGGGAGTGAAACATCAGCCTGTGCTCTGGAGGAGACAAACCATATTCAGACCGCAGCATTCTTTCTTCCTTCCAACTTTTATACGTATCAGGAGTGCGAGTGCGCGTGCGCGTCCACGTGCGTGCGTGTGTGTGTGTGTGTGTGTGTGTGTGTGTGTGTTGAGACAGGGTCTCACTGTGTAGTTCAGGCTGGCCTTGAACTCACTATGTAGCTTCAAAGGCTGGCTTCTAACTGGCAACAGTCCTCCTGCCTCAGCCTCCCAAGTGTTGGGATTACAGGTATACCTGGCCAGAGGTGTCATTTAGCTTTTAAAAATATTCTTTTAAGCATGGAGAACCAAATTATCCTTTCCCAATAAACAAGCTTAAAAATAAAATGGCCCCTGTTTTTTCTTTCACTGAGGTTTTTGTGTTGAAAATAGAATAAATGGCGTAAAATGATGTCTGAAGGTTCTGATGTAACATGTCAGAAAGCTACATGGATGTTTCCTGGGGTGAAAACTAGTGGGTGAAACATAACATCCCTGATTCTGACAACCCACAGGTTCTTTGCAAATGTAATAGATACTGTTTTTTAACTAACTTGGGATTTAATTTCTTATATACATGAGTATTTGTTGCTTTATTAGAGTAAACAAATATTATTTATTAACCGTCCTTTCCCTTTAAACACTAGGGTATCGCCCACCTCCATTCTCGGAGAAGTTCTTTCTCGTAGTCATCGAGAAGGACAGCAGCAGTTACTCCATCCTGCACATGTGGCGCCTGCACCTGAAGTCTGTGCAGGCGTGCTTAGGTGAGGACCGCGGCGTGGGGCAGAGCCGCTCAGAGTGCATTGGAGCTGACGCTCTAAAGTGAGGTTTGGCCAAGTCCAAGTACGTATCTACCTGACTTCAACTACAAGTCATGCGTTGTTAATGAGACGAGTTAGCCTTGAAAACAAACCAGGCACTGGACATACTGAAAAACCACAAGTTACTTTGTGTTGAGTACCTGTCATGGCTCAGCGTCTAGATTCTGTCCACAGATAGTGTTGGGCTTCTTTGCTGAGTAACGCTGTGGCCATGTGATACAGGGCGCGCCGGCCTCAGCCTCACTGAGGGAAGCAGTGACTGCTGGGAAAAATATGAGCAACTGTTCCATTTGTGCTTTTGCTGTACACACACAGTTTAGTCTTCTAATAAATTAGGAAATCTGTAGCAGGAAGCAGAGACACTGATCATACACCATAGACTGTTTTCATAGTTCTGGGGGTTGAACCCTGGACCCTGTGCATGTTAGACATGCATTCCACCCCTGAGGTACACTCCCAGCCCACATCTTTAAAAACAAACAAACAAACTTAGACTTGATATTGTGAGCAGCAACTGTCAGAATGAAGGACTGCTTGATAGTCATGCCAACCAGAATCTGCTTTTTCACATAGTATTACTCCTTTTAAAATGTATTTTTGTGCCAGGCATGGTGGTTCATGCCTATAATCTCAGCACTCTGGAGGCTGAAGCAAGAGAATTGCCCTGAGTTCAAGGCCAGCCTGAACTATGTAGTGAAACCCTATCTCCAAAACAACAACAAAAATATTTCTGTTTTTAATTGACACTTGGTAATTAGACACTTTTTTATAGATCGCAAGTCCGACTGGGCCATAGACAGGCATTAGAAAAGCCAAGTAACTTGGTTCTTTCGCAGTGGCTGATAGAGCCTAATCATGAGGCACTGGGAGTTCAGGAAGGTCTTTCAGAGTCCTCTGAGCTGCCGTTTGGCCTGTGTTCTCTCCGCAGTGCAACAGGAAGGGGCGTGATGGGGACGGCCTCGGCCCACCAGAGCACACGGTGTGTTCTGACATCCGGCCCGGAGCCGGGGCAGCTCTGACAGAGGTGTGGTGGTCACGGGGGCTGCGTGCGGTAGGGCAGGGACCCTGTGACAGCTCGGACCCCGCTGCTGTCCCTCACCTGTCCATGGCATCAGTAGTGGGCACAGATGTGTGCTGAGAGGACAGAGGAGGCAGCAGGCACTCTCCAGCTGGGACCACAGGCTCAGTGGACCATGTGTGCAACGCCTTTGAGTCAGATCCGGTCTGAGAATGAGAGGGTTGGCCTTAGTTTAGGTGGAGAAGGAGAGGTGTTGAGGACTTTCTGGATCCCTGATATTGAGATGTGTGCTTTATACATGTGAGATAGATATTATCCAGTTTACTAATGGAATGAGGCGAAATATTTCATTTGTTTTAAGTAACTTGTTGTAATTGTTAAATTATAATTTTTATAGGATCAGATTTCAAAATCAAGCCTTGTTTGCTCTGAAGTCTTTGCTTTTTCTCCTTTTCATGTTTTCCTAGCATGGGATACATTTTTGACAGTTGCTTGGCCTATAAGAAGAGAAATGATATAGTTCAACTTTGCTTTGCAGATAAGAAAATAGACAGAGGTGGCAGTATGCCCCGTTTAAGGAAATACATCTAATTAGTGCTAATCCAGGATTAGGACCTCTGTCTTCTGACAGCCGATGCCACTGTACTGTCTTGCTCTGTTTGAGAGTGTTTTCCTGTTCTTACTGAGTAACCTGCTGTTACAAGATAGGTTGACATGTTTGCTGTGCACCAGAAGCTAAAAGGATCAGCCTTCTGCTCTCTCTCTCTCGTGTGCCGGTGCTCCATATCCCTGTCCTGGATGCGTTCATGGCCCACAGGGGAGAGACAAGCACAGTCCGGAGCAGCTCTCACTGTAACCGAAGCACAGATAACTGCAACTCTTTCTGTTCAGAGATTTGCTCTCTGTTCTAGTCCACACTTGACTTGCCTTTCAGAGCCGGTCAGCTAGTATTCCCTTCAGTGTCTGGAGCTCCTGTTGTTATTATCCTTTGTTTCTGAGACAGGGTCTTGCTACATAGCCCAAGCTGGTCTCAGACTTACGGCAGTCCTCTGCTTCAGCCTCCCAAGTGCTGGGATTACAGGTGTGTGCCACGATGCCTGGCTTGGAACTTTTGTTTGTTGAAATTATTACCTTATTTGAGTACTTGATAGTTGTGTTCTTTGCTGCTAGCTAATTATATGACCTTAGAAAAATCTTTTGTGCTCTCCAAGGTTAAATATCTTCATCTGAGGAAGTGCACTGATCAAAGGCTGCCTCATACCTCACACGTTTCAGAAACACCTGGGCCACTCACTAAAGTGCAGATTATGGGATCTGTCCTGAGTCTGCAGAATTGGCTGTCTGGGGTTTCGTCTCTGAGTTTGTGTGTTAAATAAGTTCCTCAAGCCTGTAATATGTTTAATGGTTAAGGGCGTTAGATGTATAATTTCAGGTTTCCTGCTAGCTATTACACCTTGTAGTTCTCCCAGCAGTACCCCTGTGATGATGCTGAGGAGTAATAATCTTTAAAAATTAGTGAAGTAACCAGGCAAAAATCTGAAAGTTGTCGTTTCCCAAGAAATATTTGTAAGACTGTGTGGTGTAGCACTAGAGTTCGAACAGTGGGCCTTGCACGAGTGCTAGGCCAGGGCTCTGCACTGAGCTGTGTCCCCACCCCATGTAAGTTTTGAGGCAGGATCTCACTTTTTTTCCCAGGCTGGCCTTTCAGTTCCCCAGCCTCCACCTCCCAAGGAGCTGGCATCACAGGCATCAGCACTGCACTTGCTATTGTGCTAGATTAGTGATGGGTGCCCAGATTGCAGCCCAAACCCACCTGCTTACCTCAGAGGTTTTTGTTTAGGGAAAAAAACAAAACAAAACAAACTCTTACACAATAACAGCTTTCAGACTGGAGATTTAGCTCAGTGGTTCTGCCTGCCTTGCAAGCACAAGATCCTGAGTTCGATCCCTGGTACCAAAAAAGAAAAAACAAAACAAAACAGAGCTTTCAGTGACACAAATAGCTTTTTATTGGAAGGTAAAAGTTTGCCTCTGGTGTGCTTTTGCAGTTACTGTGATCTTTGTGGCCGTATACGTGCTGATAATTTGTCAGCCCTTGGCTGGGCGACTTGGCTCGTGTGCCAACAGGGGCCTCTGCCTGCCCGCTGTGGCACATTTGCTGCAGATTCGCCACCACTTCTCAAGACCATGTGCAGAGTGATGGTCGTGACAAATTCCCTAATTTACTTTTAAAGCTAAAGCTTCAGAAGGTTATTCATCTGAGAGTCTGCTGTCAGTTCCTGGACAGAAGACTGTGGACTCTTCCCCGGAAACCTCCCCTAGTGTGAGCCCCATGCCGCATTCATCATCAATCGTCAACCTCCAAACTGCGAGTAAACTGATCCTGAGTTCTAGGCTGGTGTACAGCCGGCCTATCGATCTCCCAGATGGAGTTGAAGTCATCAGAGCCACACCTTCGGCAGGTAAGCTATCTTTAAGGTAGAGCACTTTTAGCTAAGGGCGGTAAAATCGTGAACTCTAGAGTGGTAAAAGAGAAAACCAGGTATTGCATTGACATGGAAATACTTATTTTCTAGTAGTGAGTCATTAGTTTAGAAATGTTTTTGTTAGAAATAAATTTTTGTGATATCAGTTTGACAGAAAAATGTAAATATTTTCACACGAAGTGTCTTGTCTGCACTTGGGAGTGCTGTGGTAGTAACATTTCAGAGAACATACATGTTCCGGTGTAAATCACTGAAGCATTTTTTTAAGACTTTCCATCCCATCGTGTCTCACTTTCATTCATGTCTCGCTTCTACTACGGATATTTGAACAAGTGTTGGCAAATACTTTTGGGGAAAGTTGAGGATAAAGATTATAATTTAACAGGTAGAGTGATACTGACTTGCACATCGTGGCTAAGAGGATTTGGATGGTAGGACAGAGTGCTGTACTTGAAGTGATCTGCCACCTGTGCAGGTCTCACCTAGGGTCGGGTTCCTAATGATTTTAGGGAACCAAAGCTGGAGGTGCAGTGCTGTTCGGGTTACTGGCAGGTGATACTGAGCTTGGGTTCTCTTACTCGTTCCTCAGACAAGAGTGCTTTCACTGTAGAAAGATAACCCCAAGAAGAGTTCATTTTGTGGCAGGTACAGACCTAGGCAAGATTTTTATCTCCTCGTATTTGGAAGGTTTAGGATACACTCACATGAATTTATTGCAGCGCATGATAAATCATTTTGTTGGGGCTTTATAAAGTGTTTTCAAATGTCTTGTCAGCAGTAACATTCCAGGGAGGTACAAGCTGTTCCTGTTACTTGGATGGAACAGGCTCAGATGTTGAAATGGTTTTCCCACTCTTTTGAAGGTATTGATGGACTAGAACTTGAATCCAGATCTTCTGACCCCAAGTCTTAATCATTATGACCCTGTACCCAATAGCTGAAAATAAATGGATGGGCATTTTAGTCTTTGGCAGTCAGGGAAAAATAGGATTCTGCTTCAGTGTTATGAGAGGATTAGTTAAACAATAAAAATATATCGATCTGCTCAGCTCTCTGAAAAAATTGATGGTGGGGTAACTGGGGTCTGGGTTAGTGAGGGTGAGGTTGGGGCAGTTCAAGGGCAAACTGCAGTGACCGCACACATCTGTGGTAAAAATGATAGGCTCTGCGGGTGTGGGCCAGGGAGACGCGTGGGAAAGGCACATGGAGATGCCAGCTTGTGGTACGCTTACTGATTAAGGATTGAGTTGCTGCTTTGCTCTTGAGTTTTATTTTATTTATTTTTTGTTGCCAGGGATCAAACCAGGGCCTTGTGCAGTGCTGCAGTCCTGAGCTACATCCCCAGCCCTTGAGTGTCCCAGTTAAATATAATTACCCAACAGCTAGTGAAGTGATGTTCTCGCATGCTGTCATTTTGCTGCAGGGCTGTTGACCTCTGTAGAAATCTTGACCAGTATATATGTAGGGCATGACCCAGGCAGGGGAGAGTGACTGCAGAGTTATCCACAGCTCACAGTGGCTTTTAATCTACATAGTCTAGAATTTGATCTTGGGCATGTGACTTTGTAGTTCTGGCATTATGACTGCCTGCTTTTTCTTTTCTAAGGTCATCTCAGCTCCTCTTCCATTTATCCGGTGTGCCTTGCGCCTTATTTAGTGGTTACAACTTGCTCGGACAATAAAGTACGTTTCTGGAAGTGCTGTGTGGAACCCAGCCTGCCGGGTACTGCAGGTGACGAGAAAGAAACCTATCTCTGGAGGAGATGGCCCCTGATGAACGACGAGGGAGAAGCCAACAGCAGCACAGTGAGCATCGTGGGAAGGCCTGTTGCTGTCAGCTGCTCGTACACAGGCCGCCTGGCCGTGGCTTACAAGCAGCCCGTCCACCACAACGGCTTTGTTTCTAAGGAGTTCTCCATGCATGTTTGCATATTCGAATGTGAATCTACAGGAGGGTCCGACTGGGTTTTAGAGCAAACAATTCATCTTGATGATTTGGTTAAGGTCGGGAGTGTACTTGACTCAAGGATCAGCGTGGATAGTAATCTTTTTGTATATAGCAAATCAGATTCACTTTTAAGCAAGGATGATAGGTACCTTATTCCAAATATCAAGCATTTGGTGCATTTGGACTGGGTGTCCAAAGAAGATGGCTCCCACATTCTCACGGTGGGAGTTGGTGCTAACATCTTCATGTACGGCAGGCTCTCAGGAATTGTGACTGAGCAGACCAACAGCAAGGACGGGGTCGCTGTCATCACTTTGCCACTTGGTGGTAGCATCAAGCAAGGAGTTAGGTCGCGATGGGTCCTTCTCCGGTCCATAGACTTGGTGTCCTCGGTGGATGGTACCCCTTCCCTGCCCGTCTCTCTCTCTTGGGTGAGGGATGGGATACTGGTGGTGGGCATGGACTGTGAGATGCATGTGTATGCCCAGTGGAAGCATGCCGTCAAGTATGGAGACTCCGAGGCCGGTAGTCCTGGTGTGGAGGAGACAGTCACACAGGACCACTCTTCCTTTAAATCGAGTGCGCTGGCAAGAAAAAGTCTAGTTGAAGGAACAGCCGTCACTGATGATGTCTTCTGTTCGCCAGCAGTAGTTCAGGATGGTGGCCTGTTTGAGGCTGCACATGTACTGTCCCCTACTCTTCCGCAGTATCATCCAACTCAGCTGTTAGAGTTGATGGATTTAGGGAAGGTTCGTAGGGCTAAGGCCATTCTGTCTCACTTAGTGAAGTGTATCGCGGGCGAAGTTGCAATAGTTAGAGACCCTGACACAGGAGAAGGAAGTAAGCGCCATCTTTCTCGAACTATCAGTGTAAGCGGCAGCACGGCGAAGGATACCGTCACCATAGGCAAAGACGGCACTCGAGATTACACTGAGATCGATTCCATTCCCCCGCTGCCGCTGCATGCCTTGCTTGCTGCAGATCAGGATGCATCCTACAGGATTGCAGAAGAAAGTGCCAGCGTGCCACAGGGGTGTGAAGATCACCCTGAGAGTCAAGCAGAGGATCAGTATTCAGAGCTGTTCCAGATCCAGGATATAACGACGGACGATATTGACTTAGAGCCAGAAAAGAGAGAAAACAAATCGAAAGTCATAAACCTTTCCCAGTACGGACCGGCCTACTTCGGCCAGGAACACGCCCGGGTGCTGTCCTCCCATCTCATGCACTCCAGTCTGCCAGGCCTCACGCGGCTGGAACAGATGTTCCTTGTGGCCTTGGCTGACACCGTGGCTACCACCAGCACTGAGCTCAATGAAAATAGAGATAAGCATTGCTCAGGTAAGCAGCCTTACTGTAGATGTGTAAGAACACAGAGAAGTGTTGGGATTCTCAGTGCAGTTACGCGTGCTGAACTGTGGTCTTTGTCTCACCGCAGGGGAAAGGCCTCCCCTGACAGGTCCTAAGATAGTGAAGGCAGGCGCTCACTTGCACGTGTGACATCATGGACTTGTGATATCTGTGTGCATTTTCACATACGGATATATAGTCTCTCTCTCCAAACAGATTGAATCCTGCTTTTTCTTTGAATGATATTAGTGGCTCATTTGTAAATTTTTCTGTGGAATCATGAAGGACCTCAGGCTCAATTATCTTCCCAGTTCTAGGCGTAAGTAGTATTTTATAGTTAAAAGGTCTCTTGAGACAAAGGTTTTCAGACTTTTAACGAAATATATGTTTTACCTGATTCATTCTATAACTAGAAAATGTTTGGCTGCCCCTGAAACTACACTCATTCTCTTCCATGCAGACCATTGAAGGTAATGGTGTTGATTGTAAGCAGTGGCATTGGTAAAGGAAACCAAAACTGATTGCTCATTCAGTACTGTGCAGGAGTGAAGAATTACTGCACGCCAGGCACATTTTGTACTTTATTCCATTTAATTATCATACTTTTTTTAGTAGATACGTAGCTATTACGTTTGATACGTGATGACACTGATCCTTAGGAAATTGATTCATCTGATAGCACATAGGCATTGAACAGAAGAATCGGGGTTCATATGTGGAAATACTGTTTCTTCTAAGCTTGTATTCTTTTTAACAATTTCATAAGATTTCCAGATTTGGGTAAAAAAGACTGTTCCTTAGAGCCAGTTAGAAAATACCACTTTATATAGGTTTATACCTTTGCAGTATATCCTGGTGTCCCTTCTGTGAATTAAAATTATAAGAGACCTAGAGTTTTGTCCATGACCTGTTTTCTAACTATGTTAAGAAGGAAGAAACAGCCACTCACCAGAAGGCTGTATACAGTAGACCAAGATTCTCCCCAGAATAATCATAAGCTCTTGAATACTTACTGTGTATTAGAGTTTTTACTCTGGGATATTAAGAAAGTAGGCATGCCATCAGCCGTGAAAAGCAGTTTAAACTGTCCCTGGGCAGCAGCGTGGGAAGATCGAACCTGGTCACAGTGGACATCCAGTGGTGGGGGAGGCAGGAACATTTCACAGTGGGAACCAAAGCTCAGATAAATGAGTTGCACACCTCCAGGAAAGGGTTCCTTTTGCTCAGGAGAGGAGGGGCAGGCGCTCCTGACCCAGGCTGTACCTCTCACAGTCCATGGGAAGATGCCACCAGTTCTGTTCCACCCAGATCCACCATTTCTCATCTGCCTGCAGCTCTGTGCCCCTGCCTGGTTATAACACAGCCTCCTGACGGCTTCCTTTATGTCAGCTCAACTGTCCTCTGTGTAGGAACCAGTGATGCACTTGCTGTGCGCACTCAGTGGCTTCCCCTGGCACGTGGGAGTGAGAATCAGGACCCGGCATGGTCCTCAGGCCCCCAGACTGATGCTCATTTCCGCTCCCTGCGCTGCCTCCTTGCTGTCCCACAGACATGAGCACACACCTTTCCGTTTTCAGGCTTTTTGCAGGTCCTCTTTCCTCTGATAGAATGCACTGTTCCTAATCTCCAGAAATCTCAGATTTCTGCTAAAATTTTTTCTACCTGGAAAGTTCTCCCCTGGCAGCACTGTAGAAGAGAGAACCCTCTCCCTGTGGCATCCCGTCTCTCAAGTCTGCCTTTTCCTGCTCCATGGCATTAATTTCCATGTGTGATTTCCTCCTGAAATGTAAACTCCATGAGAATATAACTGTTCACTGCTGAAGCCCTGGTGCCCAAACTGTGCCTCATGTGCAGTGGGTGAGACGTTTGTTGAGTGACAGTGGGTGAGTAGAGTAGGTCATGGGAAGCAGCTGGAGCTGGAATTTGGGTATTTGAGATTTTTGTTTTATTCTGGGAAATACTGCTTATTCCACACTTTGAGTACTTCCCTGTGTCGGTTCCTGGGCTCGTGCTTATCAGTACTTTTGCATTGCTCTTTTCCAGAAGTGGCTGTAGTTTGGGTTAAACACGTCCTTCTTTCATACCTTTGTTCAGCTTCTGACTAAGTGGAATCACATTTGTATAAGGAGATTTGTGGAATCAAGGTTTAGATTTAACTTAATTGTGGAACAGTTACAGGTAGTACTGTTTTTTCAGTCGGGCCAAAGGGCCTAAAAAATGTAAACATTTAACTGTGTAACAAGTGATGTCACTTCATTTATGTTAACCTGTCCTTAAATCTCATCAAAATGCATGGAGGAAATTTTAAAAACTTATACCTGCCTTACTACGGTTAATGTGTATTTTATTGGATTTCAGGATTCCTCTCATTTATTATGAGTAAATATAAATGCTCTTATTTGTACTAATAGGTAATTGGATTTCCCCTTATAGTTTTTCACTGAGAAGTTAAGTATTCACGTTTTGTGTAAAGCTGTGTTCCTCGACAGTTTTAGTCTGCGTGATTTATTACAGAGTTTAGTGTTGATTTGGAAACATGTTCCGAGCCGTTTGCCGCCCCAGCCTTTGTTCCTCAGCTGTGTTCCCTCCCCAATCGCAGGCCGAGACACCCTGGACGAGTGTGGCCTGCGGTACCTGCTGGCCATGCGCTTGCACACCTGCCTCCTCACGTCGCTGCCACCTCTCTACCGTGTCCAGCTGCTTCATCAAGGTACCCTGGCCGGGCTGCGGTGTGTGTGGCAGCGGGTCTGTGTGCTTGTGCACTCACAGCGGTGCCTGCCTGGACCTTCCTGCCTGAAGTGTCCAGTGGCTGTTTTCCTGCACGCACCATCCTGTGCCCTCTGCTCGGAGAGTGCGGTTTCAGAGACTGTGCTCTGAAGTTTCAGTAGCTTAGCCAGTAAGTGTGTACTGACCAAAGGTGGCAAGGTTGGTAGCTTGTCCTTATATGGCACTTACCTTGTACCTCTGAGTGATCTTTGAAAACATGATTTTAGACAGCTGCCTAATAGTCTGTAGTTTGAACTACATTTCATCTGCCTTACTTTTGAAGTATTCAGCTCATGTGGTTTTGTTTTTTTGTTTGTTTGTTTGTTTTTGTACCGGAGATTGAACTCAGGACCTTGCACTTGCCACACAGGCAGCGGAACCACCGGGCTAAATCCCCGGCCCTCACGTTGGCTTTTAAAATTTGAGTTGGTATTGTAATGAGTCACCTTACCTCCTTGCATGTAGTTATGTGTGTCCAACTCCAGTGGTTTCTTCATGTTTGTTTCCTGGAGGTGAAGGACTGAGTCAAAGGGTGGGAAAATTCCAAACCTGGTAAGTATTGGCATGATGTCCTCCGAAAGGCCGTGCTCTTCCACGCCCAGAAGAGTGGTGTTGGATGCCAAAACTTAGCCCAGTAGCAACACTCAGCCTCATGATTGTCATCAGTCTCTGCCCCTGGGAGATTCTTGGAAAGGTTTGAAATGGTAGGCGTTGGCGATGGCTTAGCTCTTGGCAATTGTGTACCTTGTTCAGGGAGAGCTGATCGCCTCTAATTCCCCATGCTTTCTCGAATTCTATTTTCCCTTTGACCGTAGTTAAAACATCGCAGATGAGAAGTGACTGGTATTGTAGGTTACAGTCCAGGGCCCAATTTTCAGAGAAAAGTTGAATAGCCAGCGTAGATAAGAAACATCAAAGGAATGGCCATAGTTGGACTTACTTTGTAGTTTAGCCTGGCCCTGAACTCACTGTGTAGCCCAGGCTGGCCTCAAACTCGCAGGAAACCTCCTGCCTCAGCCTCCTCAGTGCTAGGATCACAGGTGTGCACCACTACATTCATCTCTCCCCAGGTTTTTATCTTTTGTAATAACTTTTCACATCTGTTCACTACTCATTTTTAAAACACTTTAAAATTCTTTTTAAATTATTACACATTTGTAATACATAATCATTACATTACTTGTGTGGTGTTGGTGCGTATACATAACTCATCTTAATTCCCTCTCCTCCCTCTCCTCCCTCTCCTCCCTCCTCCCTCCTACTCCCTCTTTCTCCTGTGCTGGCTCAAGCTGGTGGGCATGCACTCTCCCCCAGGGACACCGGCCCTGGCCCTGCCAGCCCTCTCAGCGTCCACCATTGTGCTCGGTGTATCGCTCCCCACCTGTTTCCAAAGTCACCGAGCCCGTGTTGTCACCTCTTAATTCAGATGCCGTGTGCACCAGCATTAGGCAGCTGTAGTTAACCAAGCATGAGGACAGAGGGCTGCTACTCAGGACCGTGACCTACTGGGTGGAGTTCTGTGCTGCATGTGATCCTCTGTTCCCTGGCCAGGAGAAGGAGACAGCAAGCTCCAGTGTGCAGGACGTGGTCCGCAGCCAGCAGAGCGGAAGCAGCATGCAGGGCATGGGCCCAAACCTGTGGATAGCTTGATGGCTACATAGCATTTTTTTCCAAGGATTAAGCATTGGTATCTCTGTTTTTCTGTGGACAAAAAAAAGCAGCTGTGTTCAGGAAAATGATAAGAGATGGGTGCACATTTCTTGCCACTGATCACGCGTTCAGAAGCTTGTAACGTGACGTCCTGAATGATGCCGATAGACTTTGCTTCTTCCACTGGACAGCGCTTTTCAGAATGAATGGTTGTGCAATGAAAAGATGCCCTCTTCTGTCTGAGGCAGCGCAGAAGGTCACTTCCTTTTCCCGTGCAGGTGTGTCTACGTGCCATTTCGCCTGGGCCTTTCACTCTGAGGCTGAGGAGGAGCTGATCAACATGATCCCTTCGATTCAGAGAGGGGACCCGCAGTGGTCGGAGCTGAGAGCCATGGGGATAGGATGGTGGGTGAGAAACATCAGCACGCTCCGGAGGTGTATCGAGAAGGTAGTGTGCTGCTGTGGGCTGTGAAATTCAGAAATAGTCTTCAGAGAAAAAGCTGTCTCACAGAAAACCTGTCATGGGCAGTTAGTCTGTACTTCTAAAGATCTTGAGAACTGTTTAAATACAATTTAATGGCGATTCCAAAAACTTGACCTTTATAAAGTGTGATTTAATCCTACAAGTGATTTATTTGTTATAGTTAAGTCAAAGAGATATGTATATATTTTGGCTCTGAAATCACTCTATAAATCTAGCTGAGTGGAATAAATATTTCTCCAAAAATGATCAAACAGTGAAGCACTCAATGATGGAGGATGGTGATGGAGAAAGTTGGACTTGGTGGGGCACACCTGTAATCGCAGCACTCGGGAGGCTGAGGCAGGAGGCTCGCTGTGAGTTTGAGGCCAGCCTGGGCAACACAGTGAGTTCCAGGTCAGCCTGGGCTACATAGTGAGACCCTGTCCCCACTGTCCCCTACCCACTGATGGAAGGAATAGAGAATAATTAAGGGAAGGGACAGGAGAGAACATGGAGAGTGAATGTTTTTGTGCTGTGATTTTAGTTGTCTTTCCTCCTTTCTCCATACCCCATTAGCTTCCTGCTTTGCTGTCAGTCAGTGACAGCTGAGAACCGCACACAGGTCTCCCCAGTACCTCCCAGTTTAGTGATCAGAGGAGAAGGCAGCGTCCTAGCGACCCAGTGCATGGCCTGTGCTCCGGCCTGCGAAGCAGTGCAGTCACACACAAGTCAGTGCTTTTCACCTTGTAGAAGTGACTTATTCTGTATCAATTCAGCAGCTTTGTCTGTACGGTTCAGAGGGGTTACTAGTAACCGCACATGAAATCATTAAAGATGGCTTTGTAAGCCAGGAACTCGGGTGTAGCTTGGGGGCAGAGTGTTGCTTAGCTTGAGTGAGGCCCTGGCTTCCACACATCCCCTAAGGAGATGCTTGTCAGCCCTTCAGAATAAAGGACCTTGGACCTTTTGTACTTTACATGCCAGAAAGAGTGTGTTTTTAGAATTGTCAAAATTTGATCTAAAAGTTTAAAAAAATATGTTTACTACTAGAGCATTTGTTTTTAAAATGAATTTCTTTGCTTAGTGTATATAATTGTTTATCACAAGTGTCTCTCGTGGTATTAGTTGAGAGACCCTTCATTTACGAAATCAGATTTACCGTAGATGCTAACATTTTAACTTTCATAAAACAATAAAGAACTGCAGTATGTCAATTTTCAAGAAGCAATTGCATCCTTTGCACACTGGATTGCTGTTGTTTGCCACGTCGGTTTTATCACCACCTGAATTCTGATCCTTTCCCACTCCTTGCTGTGGGCCCTGCAGCTGTGCGTTTTTCTGGACACTGCAGCCCGGTCTGTAGTGCGGGTGGTGACGTCCCTCTGGGTGCTGGCTGATGGCTCTGCTGGGCAGGAAGGGCTGTTTGCTGGGTGGTGAGCAGCCTGCTGCCCGTGAGGGTGTTAGTTACTCCCAGGCAGGCGCTGTCTCCAGGTGTGTGGGTCAGAAAGTACTGGTGACTGGAGTGGAGCCAGGTTCTCCCGTCCCCACAGTTTCTGTCAGCCACAGAAGTAGCAGGAAAGCATTAATTGCTGACTGATTGTAATTGTTTTGTTAAATGGTTGGAATAATATTTTATTTACTGTTTAGGTCGCCAAAGCTTCTTTTCAAAGGAATAATGATGCTTTGGATGCTGCGTTGTTCTACCTCTCCATGAAGAAGAAAGCAGTAGTGTGGGGTCTGTTTAGGTAAGTTGTGATCTCATGGAGTGAAATAATGCTGCGGGTCAGAAAACGAATGCTTTGAAAATAATCAGGTCGGATCAACTAGCTTTGTTATGGCTTGGTTCCTTTATCTGCAACAAATAGGAAAAATATATAGGGGCAGAATGTTGTAAAACATGTTGATAAAAGCACATTGGGAAGTAAAAAATGGGGGGGGGGTATACACAGCACTGTGGGCCCCCGTACTGGAGGTGAAGAGGCACTGGCAGAGATGCCTGTGCTGGCAATTCTGCTCCTGTTTTAGGTGAATGCGTTTTTACTTTTTTTTCTCACACTCTGTCGATGATGGAAGTGCTGTTTTTGCCATTTGATCTGACCACAGACGATTGTGCTCTGCTTCCCAGGTCACAACATGATGAAAAAATGACAGCGTTTTTCAGTCACAACTTCACTGAAGATCGGTGGCGCAAAGCTGCTTTGAAGAACGCTTTCTCTTTACTTGGAAAGCAACGCTTTGAACAATCTGCTGCTTTTTTCTTGTTAGCTGGTTCATTGAAAGATGCCATAGAGGTATACATAAAACTTGTTACAAAATGTGGGTAAGAGGTTGAAAGCCTGAATGGTCTTCGGGGCATTGCAGTTTTTTTGTCGTGTTTGTAAGGATAGAGAATAACTACAGAGGTTGCTCGATGTATAGTGGTATTGTGATAAAATTATATATAAATTGCATATAAGACAAATTGCATTTCAAGATAATGGGTAAAATTTATGAAAACATGGTTTATGGACATCTTCTTAGCTGTCTTGTGATTCTGAACCATTTAAAGTACATAGGCCATAACCACCTTATTCTGTGGAGAAAGGCAGATATTTTCTTTTTTTATAAATGAAATTCAAAGATAAGGAACCAAAATTGCAGTCTGCACTATTCTGTTATATAGTTGTAGATACTGGAAATCAAAAGTAAAGAGGTAAAGCTTTGCAATTTTTAGTAAATAATCCTGGCAGGTGATTATGAGAGTGAGTGATAGTGTTTTTATTTAGTTATGACTTATCTTCCTTTTAGGTTGATTAGTATCATTAGGAACGGTCCAAATAACATGTAGGAAAAACCGAATTGGAAATACTACATGACAGAATAGAAAATACCTAACGAAGTACAAATAACTGTAAATTAAAAATTAGATTGTCATACTTATCTCAGGCATCTGACTTTTTTTTTTTTTTTTATACTGGGGATCGAACTCAACACCTTGAGCTTGCGAGGCAGGTGGTGGTACCACTGAACTAAATCCCAGCCCAGGCATCTGGTTTTTAAAAGTAGAAATGCTTGAAATACTGACATGGGAAATTTAGCTTAGAAGCTACTCAGGTGACAAAGGGATCTCTTCCCTCCAGTCTCAGGCATGCCTGCCCCACTGTGCTCCACACTTGGCCCTGACCCGGCCCTGCGGACAGGGGCGCAGCGTGTGATGACCTCCATTCACAAGTTCAGCAGTTTTATTTGAATACAGCTTCCTGCAGAGTAAGAATAGAATACTGTATGCAGCCCTGATGTATGAGTTACCTGCCATGTAAATAGGTGGTTCTTTTAAAATAGTATAATTGTTTACGTGGAAACGTATTTGGAAATTAAGAGGAACCGTTACATAAGTTCAAATGTTATAAGTAGTATTTAATTTGAACTAACTTAAATTGACCTACGTCTAAGGTGAGATTGATACACTGCTTTATGCTTGTTTTACAAACAGCCTCTCTGGCTGGATGTTACTGTGTCCTGGTCTTACTCTTTATTCTCCTATGGAAGAGCAGTGTGACTACCTTTCACGTCCTGACACGAGCGTACGAGCAGAAGACGGGCTCAGTGTATCAGTGAGCTGGTTCACAGCTGCAGTGAAGTGACTGTCCCATGTAGTTCCTGTATTTATTTATTTTTAAAATTGAGTTTATTGGTGCATTTTAGGTCTACAGTGCAGTTGCATTCATCATTGGTGAAAGGGGTCTCGAGCCCCCTTTGGGTGCCCCTTACCCAATTATGCCACGCACGCACCGAGAGGTCCGGTAGCAGATCTTTATTGTAGGGAGGCGAGTGGGAGGCAGGAAGGCAGAGAGCGAGAGAGAGAGAGAGAGAGAGAGAGAGAGAGGAGGAAGAAGAAGCAGAAGGAGAGAGAGAACA